TAGTCGTTTCTATCGTGCTATGAGATGATGTGGTATTCGATGCCATGGCATGCTCTTTTTTGTCATGCTATTGATATGGTACACTCCGTCATGTTATGGTATGTTCGTGTTATGCTATCTCATGGTGTGACATGCTGTGGTCTGGCAAATTCGCCGTTGTGCTCGGCTGTCGTCTTATGATATGTTAGGTGACGCTGTGTGATGATATGATTTGTGTTGTCAGTGTGTCTTATTTCATGATCGGCTATGTTATATGATGGGTGTGTTATGTAGTTTTCTGATATGCCATAGTATGATGTGGTCTGCTAGTATGGTATGGCGTGCGATATGATGGTGTATTCTACGTTGTCATTATAGTTGTATAATAGGTTATGCCATGCTATGTCATGTTATTGTTCTGTTATGTCATGTTATGTTGTGTCATATTGTGTTATGCCGTGGTTGTCGAAAGCGCGAGGCGAGATAACCGTGACACTCGGTACAATTTGGGGAGAATCGCAACCCCAGGAATGCGACGTCCTGATGTTTCACAACCATCCAATGGTGCTGGGCACTCGTTTTGAAGAGACGGCGCCCCGCGTTCTCCGCCTCTCCTTCCTCCTCCTCCTCCTCCTCCTCCTCCTCCTCCTCCTCCTCCTCCTTCCGCCCGTTACCCCCCTCACTTTAGCACACCCCTCACACGTTTCGTGGCCCCATAGGGAGCTCCACCGAAGGCCCCAGAGGGACCGCCCGCATGCGTCACGCACCACCCAGTACAGCGTTTCGTGGCCCCATAGGGAGCTCCACAGAAGGTCCCAGTGGGACCACCCGCATGCGTCACGCACCACCCAGTAAAGCGGTTCGTGGCCCATAGGGAGCTCAACCGACGGCCCCAGTGGGACCGCCCGCATGCGTCACGCACCACCCAGTACAGCGCTTCGTGGCCCCATAGGGAGCTCCACCGAAGGTCCCAGTGGGACCACCCGCATGCGTCACGCACCACCCAGTAAAGCGTTTCGTGGCCCATAGGGAGCTCAACCGACGGCCCCAGTGGAACCGCCCGCATGCGTCACGCACCACCCAGTACAGCCTTTCGTGGCCGCATAGGGAGCTCCACCGAAGGTCCCAGTGGGACCGCCCGAATGCGTCACGCATCACCCAATACAGCAGCTCTTCGTGGCCGCATAGGGAGCTCAACCGACGGACCCAGTGGGACCGCCCGCATGCGTCACGCACCACCCAGTACAGCCTTTCGTGGCCCCATAGGGAGCTCCACCGAAGGTCCCAGTGGGACCGCCCGCATGCGTCACGCACCACCCTGTACAGCGCTTCGTGGCACGATGAGGAGCTCCACCGACGGCCCCAATGCCACCGCCCGCATGCGTCACGCACCACCAACTACAGCGTTTCGTGGAACCATGGGGAGCTCCACCGACGGCCCCAGTGCCACAGCCCGCATGCGTCACGCACCATCCAGCACAGCTGTTCGTGACCCTAAAAGGAGTTCCACCGAAGGTCCCAGTGGGGCCGCCCGCATGCGTCACGCACAACCCAGTACAGCGTTTCGTGGCCCATAGGGAGCTCCACAGAAGGCCCAAGTGGCACCGTCCGCATGCGTCACGCACCACCCAGTACAACGCTTCGTGGCCCTATAAGGAGCTCCACCGAAGGTCCCAGTGGGACCGCCCGCATGCGTCACGCACCACCCAGTACAGCCTTTCGTGGCCCATAGGGAGCTCCGCAGAAGGCCCCAGTGGCACTGTCCGCATGCGTCACGTACCACCCAATACAACGTTTCGTGGCCCATAGGGAGCTCCACCGAAGGTCCAAGTGGGACCGCCCGCATGCGTCACGCACCACCCAGTACAACGTTTCGTGGCCCTATAAGGAGCTCCACCGACGGCCCCAATGGCACCGCCCGCATGCGTCCCGCACACGCAGCACAGCGCTTCGTGGTCCGATAGGGAGCCCCACCGAAGGTCCCCTTGGGACCGCCCGCATGCGTCCCGCACACCCAGTACAACGTTTCGTGGTCCCATAGGGAGCTCCACAGAAGGTCCCAGTGGGACCGTTCGCATGCGTCGCCCCCACTCAGTACAGCGTTTCGTGGCCCGACAGGGAGCCCCACCGAAGGTCCCAATTGGACCGCCCGCATGCGTCCCGCACATTCAGCAGCGCTTCGTGGCCCCATAGAGAGCCCCACCGATTCGTTGCCCTATAAGGAGCTCCACCGAAGGCCCTAGTGGCAAAGTCCACATGCATTTCCCCCACCCAGCACAACGTTTCGTGGCCCATTGGGAGCTCCACCGAAGGCCCCAGTGGCAAAGTCCGCATGCGTCGTCCCCACCCAGCACAACGTTTTGTGGCCCATAGGGAGCTCCACTGAAGACCCCAGTGGCAAAGTCCGCATGCGTCTCCCCGACCCAGTGCAGCGTTTCATGGCCCCAGCGGGAGCTCCACCGAATACGATACCCATACCTGCGGTACTCACAACTACATATGGTTGGGTCCTTCGCCAGGCTAATTTGAGGACGGCGTCCCCAGAAGTCCAGACCCTTTCCCCAGGGCCAGTTTTTCATCCTGAGTCGTCTTTTGGCGGTCCCGAGGCCCAGCGAGGGCCCCCCGAGGCCGAAATCGGCAACCAAACCTCCCGTCCTGATTCTCCCCAAGCTGGCCTTTCCGAGCTCGATGTGCCCACCCGCGGGGTCCTGCCTTGCCTCACCTCCCCTCCCCCCCCCTGGGCGGCGCAGGCCCGGGCAGCGCAGAGCAGGGCAGCTCGGGAAAGGGCACCGCGATCGACCCTCGGGCGGCGGTTGCGTACAATGGAGGCCCGACCACGAGAAACCTTCCACAAGAAACCCGGAGCCCAACCCTGAGACCCCCGGCAACGCCCGTCATCGCCAGGGGATGCGGTCAGGAGTTTTTGCTTATAGCGTGTCGCCGCGGCGGCCCCGCCGACTCGCTACGCCCTGCGAGCGGATAGCGTGTCGTTTTGCCCCGAGGGGCGGGAGGCTTGGAAACACGCGAGACATTGACGCCTGGCGACCGGGTGGTGGATAGCGTGTCGCGAAAAATGTCTCCAGGGAGGGCGGGGGCGGACACACTAGGGGCTCGACCACAAGAAACCTTCCACAGGAAACCCAATCCTGAGACGCCAGTACGTCCACTGATTTTTGGCGTGGGAACGTCACGCCTTCCACAGAGGCCTCCTATACGGGGTCCGAGTAGATGGGGTCGGAGGATCTCGCCGCATCGCTGATACATCGGCGACGTATAGTCGATGCACTGGCGACGTCGGCGATGCATCGGTGACGTCGGCGTGGAGAGGGGCCCCACATCGAACCGCATCGGCAATGCATCGTCGATGCATCGCCGATGCAACAGCGATGCGGCACGATCCTCCGACGCCATCCACTCTGACCGCATCCAGGAGGCGTAGAGGCACATGGGTGGGTGGTGGGTGGGTGGGTGGGGGGACGAAGAAACGTGAACCTGTCGTGCCCCTTTTGTCCCCTGTAGGGCGCAGAGGGCACGAGCGGAGGTCACTAGCCACTCTTGGCCCTCCTTGGCCTCTGGGAGCGCTTTCGGGTGTGATGCAGTCGGTAGAACCACCGGGGACGATACACGATCCCAGGGAAGAGGCCGAGAACTCTGCGGCCCGAGCACTGAAACAATCTGCACATCGAATTTCTGGAAGCCAACAGCGAATGCTGTCCAAAATTTACAGCGGCCGCTGTTGGGCAGGCGGCCTTCTGGTTACCGTAAATGGACAACATCCGCGTCGACACCAACAACGAATATGGATCAAATGGACAAGAACTGCTGTCGGTGTTCGTATCCGTTCGTTCCGTACCGATTTCGATCGTACCGAGAAAACAAAGTCCATCCCTCCCGAGATGCCTCCGTGTCGCTCACCTGTCTCCCTTTTTCAGCCTGCCGCCTCTCCCGCTGCTGCTCCCGAGCGGCCTCCTCAGCCTTCGTATACTATTCTTGAGGTGCGCGTGCTCAATGCTGTGTGCATGCGTGTTGTGCGTCGCATGTGATCGTGTGACTTTCGGCGGAACGGCGAGTTCGGACATTTATGCCCAGGACCAGGCTGGCATGGTGTCCGTAGATTGGATACTGTTGCAGAACAGGCTTTTGTACCTTGCTCGTCTTCTCCGCTCCGATAGTCATGCGTTGCTTGCTTTGCTGTCTCGAAGGCATGACAGAGAGGACGGGCCCCGTCACGTGATGCCGTGGATCAGATGAGCGAGGGCGGACTTGTCATCCTGCTACAGAGTAGAACGTCCACGGCAGCCCGAAATTGCCAGCCTGACCCTGCCGTGGATTCGAATCCCTGGTGGGGCATCATGGTTGACAGGGCTCAGCAGTGGAAGGACATCGTTCATGGCATTCGTTTATTTGCGTCTGTGTGTGATGCGTCTCGTAACACCATAAGCAGTAGTGGGCTTGCCTCCCATTCTTGCATATGTTGCACACGTTGTTTTGCCACGCGCCAGGCCATGTTGACGCACGCTCGGGTCAAGCATGGCATGCGCACTGATCGGCAGTTGTATGCTGACGAAGATGGAATGTGCAAGGCGTGCCACAAACAGTTCTCGACTCGACACCGTCTCATAGCACACTGGGCGAACCCTCATCGGACCGCTTGCTGGCTGTGGGTCGTCGCCAACACCTCACCCATGGATGCCGATAGGGTAGCGCATTTCGACGCTGCAGACACACTCGCGTGCTGAGCTGCGAGAAACCGTCGCCACACGCGACCGCTAACGGCGGGCCATGTCAAGCAGGCCCCGGGCGGCGCCGAATTGATCGTCTCGTCACATTTGCGTCCTCTGATGAGTTTGCGCCCCCAGAAGGAGGAGGACCTCCCCCTCCTCCCTCCCTCCCGTCCTACCTATAGTAGTAGTGGTGGAAAACTGGCCCATCATCATCACTTGCCGCCGCCAGAGGAGGAGGAGCAGCAGCAGCAGCTGCAGCAGCAGCAGCACAGCAGCAGCAGCAGCAACTTGACAATGTTTTGCAATCGCTCATCCGAGGGCAGGGATCCCGCCGCGCGACGCGAGCGCGACAGCCGACGCCGCCTGGACCGCCGGGCCATTAAAACGAAATGCAGTCTGCCACTGAGGAGAGGGCTCCTGAGGAAAGGAGTCCTGGACCTTGGGACTACCTACCTGACCACCCCAACCCAACCCGACGATCCAAATTTCGGGTTGGGGGGGGGTACAGGCTCCATTGATGCGTTTTCAGTGTTCCACGACGCTCCCCCCCCCCTCAGCGGGAACAGAGGGCAACTTGGGGCCTTCGGGTTGGGTTGGGGTGGTCTGGTGGGTGGTGAACTTGGAGCGGCCCTGAGACCTTCTTTCGATATGCTCACGTCCGCAGGGTTCCCTGAGACCAGGCTCCAGAGCATCCCCAAAGGCCATGACACCTTTCCATAGGACCCCTTTCCCTCATGGCACGCAAAATTGTCACAGGGCGCCGACAGCGGCGCGAAAAAAGGCCGTGAAGGGAGATGGGGGAAGGTTCAGCAGGCCGACTCCGACACTCGCCTGGGGAGAAGAACGCATACGCTACCACCACAGTTTCACAAGCCCATCGACCATGGAATAGACTGGCTCTTGGACACGCAAGGAGCTGATGTAGTTACACGCCAGTCGAAAGAGGCACGACAAAGGCAGACGTTTGGACTAGATGGGGTTTCGGCCCGACGTTTCGCGACTCGATGAAAACCATATTTAGTCGGGTACTGAAGCGAGGCGAGAAAGACTCTCAAACTAGATTACGTTTTGGAGTTCGGACGCATGTATCCGATCTCGTGATTGTTGTATCATACGGGTGTCATGGCTCTCGGCCCCTTCATGTATACCGCATGTCTCGTCCCAAAGAAATCACAAGTGCTGGTTTCACGGTCCCTGTGCACGTAAGGAGCCTCCTGACGCCAACACTTGCGAACAGCACAGCGTCCTGTTTTGTGCTCGAGTTGGAGGCCTAGAGATGTGTACTGAGAGCGTGCGCCACTATATTGTCCACTTCCCTTATGCTTCCCATTGCGCGTAATCCTACTCCTCTCTCCTTCCATTGTCTTCGTGGATTTCAGGACAGACACGTTGCGTTGCAGATGTGCGAACAGACTTCCTTCGTGGCGGACTTCTCAGATAGCCGAAGGTCCCAATGATCAGGAGCGAGCCTCTTCAAAGAGAAACACGATTGAAAAACAAACATACGTAATAGGGGGGCCTTTCCAATGATATGTGAATCTCGAGTTCAAGCCCCTTTCCAGCAGATTGACAAATCAGCTCCCTTTGGCACGGAGGTACATGATCGCCGAGAAACACAGGGATCAGGAGCCAAAGAAGCTGCCACCAAAATGGTTGCATTGTAGATGTAAACACTGTTGCAAGCCACAGCAACTGTTTGGGTCGTGTGTGCATCTGTATATTGTTTGCTTGCTTGATCGCTGACTGTTGAGTCCATCGGCCATCCTGAAAGGCCGCAACACAGGAAACTGAAGTGTGAACTTTCTACAGCGGGATTATACTTGAACAATTGCCACGAGCCTTCAGAGCTCATCGCCCCAGGCCGTTTTCCCCTACGATCTCCGAGCGCTCCACTGAATGTCACAGACGGATCATTCCAGAGGCGTTCCTCGGAGCGTTTCCAAAAAGGCTCTGGAGCTCTAGGAATGAGGAGTGGAAATATTAACAAGAGGAGGGATCTCCTCTACGGCTGGTGGGTGTCGTGTCGACCCTGGCGTTGGTTCCTGACACCGCGGGGATCATTCAACCTTGAACGATCGGCCGTTTCCGACCGATTCTTGGTCGCCGGCGGCGTTCAACGTTGAACGCCAGCGACAGGGTCGCCGCCGGTCGACACGCCTCGAACTTACCGCACACCCTCTCTGCCGCCTTGACCAGGAGAGACACATCAAGTCCCTGCCTAAACTCACGCACGACGCTAATCCCAACGGTGTCGCTTCAGCTGTTTGCTAGAGCCGCACCGTGCAGTATTTGGCATGGTTTGCCATGCTTTTGCATGGTTTGCAATGTTGTGCATGCTATGGCATGCTTTGAATGTTTGTGCCTGCTTTGCAAACGGGCAGGATTTGGAATGATGTTCATGCTTTGCATGCTTCGGCATACCCTTCATGCAAACCTATGATGTTGCATGCTGTGCATACTTTGGCATGCGTTGCATGCTTTAGGTGCGCTGGCATGCTCCGTTTGCTCTGAGAGACAGGATGACGAGGCGGAGGAGGAAGAGGAGAAGGCGAATGACAAGGTTCAAGAAAGACGGACGATGACGAGAAATAAGGATTTGGACGAAGACAAATATGACGGAATAGTGAAGGAGGCTCAGAGCAAAACAAGAGGGGAGGCGTCGTGGAGCACGGTCTCTAATTCTATTGACCCACGTGTGTATCATTGAATGGTCTGGCACTTGCGTCGCCATACGCGACGCCGAAAGGCGCCGACAATTCATACGATCTCTCAAAATGGTTGCGACACAAGTCACGCCGAGGGCGGTAAGAAATTCAACGGTCTACTGTCAATTACGCCGTACGTTGTGCCAACGGCTATCCAAACTTACAACGGAATGCCGATTCTGTTGCCGCCGAAACTGGAAACAGCCTGATCAAGGGTGCTACATGGAACTTGTGCCCTGTGGGCCAACCTGCAAAATAACATCTCTGGAGCACAGACGCAAGCTGCAAGAGCGAATCGAGACCAAATCTTCCTGGGGAAACCAGAACGTACCGACACCGCCACTCCCTAGACCTCTCGCAGCGTGCGCTCTGAACAGAATTATGAAGCGAATCTGACCGTGTCGACGAGAGCGTCCCGGGAGACCCAACAAGGGGAACACGAGAGAGGGGTAGCATGGGAGCACAGAGACATACTAGTACTATATGTCCTCCTTGGAGGCGCGCGTCCGACCCGAACATATCTTCTGCCCATCTTGTAGTATGTCGTTTTCCGAGGTGTGGCCAGAAAGCGCCCGCCACGACGCATATACTGTAAGATTTCTCAGTGCGCGCGATTCCTCATCTGACGTGGGACCGCATCAGGGCGAATCAGGGCGAATCCGTTCAGGGCGAATCAGTCTGCCAGGGCGTGGCGGGTCCAAACCAGGAGAACCCAGAATCGAATCGACAAGTCGGATCGGCGATTGACATGAACCAGATCGGCGGACATCGGCAGCCGAGTCGGGAAACATCGGATCGGCGGACATCGGCAGGCCAGTGTGCCTCCGACAAGACATCGGAGCCCGAATCGGAATCCCAAGCCGAATCGAATCGGAATCGGGAGCCATCGAAGGTGAATCTTCGAACTTGAGCCAAAATAGCTACGCAAGAAAAGGAGGAAGAGGATGATGATGATGATGATGATGATGATGATGGTGAGGAGGAGGAGGAGGAGGAGGAGGAGGAGGAGGAGGAGGGCGAATCGAGTCGGAGGAATCGAAACGAGCACTGCCAAGCTGGGCGAGGATCCCGTGACAATGGTTGCCACCTCGTGCGGGCGCCGGGGCCTCCCGCCCCGACGGCGCAGCCCTGTCGCAGGAAGCCCACGCCTCCGCGCGCCCCTCCCCTGACTACCTACCAGACCACCCCAACCCAACCCGAAGACCCGAATTTGACCCGAATTTCGGGTTTGGGGGGGGTACGGGTTCCATGTAATTTTTCAACGTTCCCCGACCCCCCCCCACTGGAAATGGAGGGCAAATCGAGGCCTTCGGGTTGGGTTGGGGTGGTCTGGTAGGTGGTGATCCCCCCCTTCCGAGTGCAGTGCACCACAGCCGGCAGCGTGCCGGGCCAAAAACGGTGCTCGAGGAGCCGTGGGCAGGCGCAAGGATGCCTCTCCCCGAGCAGGGATCGACCGAGAACGGTGTCGTTTGGCTTCGCTCTGTTTTCCGTGTCCCTCGTTCTGTCTTCGATGCGCCGCTGCTGAGCGACATCGAGGCGAAAACGGCCCGCCAAATCGCCCAAACACCGTGCAGGTCGACCCCTGTCCCCAAGAACAACGAACGCTGGACTCGATTCTTCTCGGCCCACCAGAGATCTTCTTCACGGCCCACCAGGGATCTGGTGCAGCCAGGCGCAGCTCTGAGCATCGTTTAACCGATCCCCATCCCCACCAGCATGGGCTGGGCCCCACTGGCCGACTTTTCCTCCCTGATGGGGATATAGGCTGCTTTCTTCGGGTTTCGAGGGGCGTCTCCCCAACTGAGGTGGTGGGACGGTGGGGCTCGAGATGTGGATGGGGATGGGGAATAGGGATCGGTTAAACGATACTGAAACTCGGGGGCGGGGCGGTCCAGAGCGAGGAGGAAGAGGGAGGAGGAGAAGTCCGTGACAGAAGCCGTCCGCGACCATGGCCTGCGAAACACATGTAGAAGGTGTCGAGCTATGGCCCGCAGCGACGGAACGAATAACTCTGGATCGTTTGATAAGGACACCGACGTGCCGTCACGGCAGACGACAAAATCAATCACATTGCAGACGCAGTCGCAGGCAAACCTCGCAAGAATCCCACCATTTAAAACCCGCTGAATGTCTGGCCCAAGGTGTGCGTTCCTTGGCCAGGGGCTCCAAAAAGAGGGACCCACAGGACCCTAGCCTGACCCGGTCAGTTTGTTCCAGACGAATCCTGGGAAGAAGCCGAAGGTTGTTTTACACATCAGCTGCTTCATTTGCGGGGTGGGGTGGGGGAAGGGGGCCAAAACCCAGGTATGCTGAATGCATCAACTTCTTGGCGTCCGTGGGAAGTCACTGCGCAGCGCGCGAAAACAATGATACCCTGACGACATGTGTTTGGTTTCTTGATATGCGTCGACTCCTCCTCTCCCCCCCCCACGCTTATGAAGCAATCCAGAGTAAGATCCAGGGGAAGAAACAGGACGTCAAGCCAGGTGCGCTCGCGCCACATCTGACATCCCTCTCATCCCACCCATCCCTGCCCATTGCGATGGCGGCCAGGGTGGTCTACGAGGACCCTGTCTCATGTGATGCGCAATCAGAAAAGGCTGAAGGAGGAGGAGGAGGAGGAGGAGGAAGCGGTCGAGCAAGAGGAGCAGGAGAAAGAGGATGAGGAAGAATGATGAGGAGGAGCAGCAGGAGCAGGGTCTAAAGGAGCAGGTTTGTCAACGAACGTCGGAGGATGGCAAACGAGGACGGTGGCAACGACAAGGACCGAATCGGATTCAGAAATGTGGCCCGCGCTGGGGAGAGATCGCCATTCTAAACGACAGGAGCGAAGTACCGGTTCTGAGATCTTGCCAACGCTGCAGCGGGAGCCCCTTTCTTGAAGAACCCAAAGCTTTCCGATAAGAGAGCGTTATGGCAGCCAACATGTTCACAGACCAATGCCGTCCCGATTAAAGAAACATAGGGAAGACCAAATCATGAAATCCTGATCGCGACAAACAGTACGCGGGCGAGATGGCGACACCACTGGACATGATCAAGGGATATGGGAGAGTACTGCTCACTTGAGTAATTGTGCAGAGAGAGATACGGACAGAGAGAGAGAGAGAGACAGCGAGAGAGAGAGAGAGAGAACGCTAGAGAACGAGAGAAGGAGAGAGAGAGAGAGGGAAAGCGACCGAGGGAGGGAATGGCATAACACAATAGACAATTACGCAGCAATAAGCACCTAAACAAGTTCCAACAGTTGGTATTGGCCCAGTGGGTCCAGTTTGTCGTACCAAGCCTTGAAGGAAATTCGTGCCTTTGGCAGGTCCTTCTCCCTCACAGCAGCGCCGAAAGCCTCGCGGAGTTTTTTGAGTTCCTTGATGATGGGATCGCTGAAGTCGTCCTTCGCCTCGCGCATGGTGTTGCCATAGACCTCCATCTCGTTTAGCATCTTCTTCAACTTCTTCTGCTGAATGAACTCATCGATGCCAGCTGAAACTCGATCGAACCGCTTGACGTCCAATACTCTCGGCTGAGCCCCTGCCTCAAAGGCCTGGGAGACCTCGGTGCCATTCACGAGGCTCATCATAACAGCTTCGAGGGTGGGAGCATCCTTACCTTTATCCACCGCCATTTCGGTGACGCCTTGCTCCCTGGGTGTGAAGATGTTGGCACCCGAGAGCGCGTCTCCCTGCGATCGCACTGACACGGCCAGACTCCTGGAGACCCCGATGTTCGATGTTCTAATGTCCATCTTTGCGATCTTGGTGTCGTACACAACGACAGCCTTTGCCCCTGCCTCCTTGGCGAACATCATCTTGTCGCTGAAGGGGCACTTCCCGCGCTTTATGAAAACCACCTTCCCTTCGACCCCCTTGTAAGAGGCGCATCCGAAACCGACATCCGAATTCTCGAATCCTTGGGCGTCGGTAGCGAAGGCTATCTCACCGTCGAACTTGCTGTCCGCACCGGCGCTCCACTCTGCAGGCCGTGTCTGATAGAACACCCTGCTGGCGGCGTCGCCCTTCTTCAGCTCGACCTGCAGGTAGATGTCGTCTCGGTAGCCGAAGAGCTCCTGATAAAACCTGCGGATCTTGGGGACGTACGTGGCCTTTCGCGGCCTCCTAGATAAGGTCGGCGTAGACGGAATCGGAGAGCCGCGCCGCATCGCCGAATCATCGGCGATGCATCGGCGATGCACCGGCGATGCACCGGCGATGCACCGTCGACGTCGGCGATGCATCGGCGACGTCGACGCGAAGAAGATCGGGCTGCACCTAAAGCCGCACCGCCGATGATCATCGGCGATGCGGCGCGAGCCTCCGACACGCCATCTCCTCCGACCCCATCCAGGAGGGCCTAGAGGAGGAGGAGGAGGAGGAGGAAGAGGAGGAGGAGGAGGAGGAGGAGCCTTCGCGTTCTGAATCCGGTCGCCCCGGAAAGCGTCGGCCTCCTCCGGCGCCGCCGCCCACGCGGCCACGGAGGCCGCCGCCGTGCCCTCCAGCAGCCGCCGGCGCGACTGGCCCTCCGCGGTGCGGCTGGCCGCCGCGCGGTCGCCGCCCTTATCCGCGGGGCCCGCCCACGCGCGGTGCCCGCCCTCCCGCAGCCACCAGGAGGCGAGGACCTCGGGGCACAGACAACGGTGCAAGCATACGTAAACCTCCTCCTCCTCCTTCTCCTCCTCCAGCTCCCTTCCTCCTCCTCCTCCTCCTCCTCCCTTCCTCCCTTCCTCCCTTCCTCCCTTCCTCCCTTCCTCCCTTCCTCCCTTCCTCCCTTCCTCCCTTCCTCCCTTCCTCCCTTCCTCCCTTCCTCCCTTCCTCCCTTCCTCCCTTCCTCCTCCTCCTCCTCCTCTTCTCCCACGCGGAGGGGGCGCGGCCGGTCTGGGGGGCGGCACTCGTTGCCCGCCCACTTTGTCGCCTTCGCCTTCGCCTTCGCCGCCGCCGTAGTCGCCGTCGTCGTCGTCGTCGTCGTCGTCGTCGTCGTCGTCGTCGTGGTCGTCGTCGTCGTCGTCGTCGTCGTCGTCGTCGTCGTCGTCGTCGCAGTCGCTGTCGTCGTCGTCGTCGCCGTCGCCGCCGCCGCCGCCAACGCCGCCGCTGCGGCTCCCAGAACGGGCGCGCCCCCTCGGGGACATGACCTTTCGGAGGTCTGCGCGGATTCCTTGGATCTCGCCACCAACAATGCCACCCCGTCACAACTCGAAGGCCCCCATATGGGCCCTCGTTTCCCAGTGGGGGGGAGGGGCGACGCGGGGAAACACTTGGAACACTGAGAAAACACACATATGGACCCCGTACCCTCTCCCCAACTTGAAATTTAGATCGGCGGGTTGGTAGATAATCAGGATCGGCGAGGGACCCCGCTCCCTGGCGCACGGAGCGCGCGCCGGAGGTACCGCCAGGGCGCTCCTGCGCCGATCCAAGAAATCCGCGGCGGACCTCCCATTCGCCTGCTCATGTCGGCGGCGAGTGAGGGAGGGGAACTAAGGAGAAGGCAGAAAGTGGCGGCGGGGCTTCTCGGAAGGCCTCTGGCCTTCTCAGAGATGTTCTGTGACTTCGGGGACGTCTCAGAAAGCTTCTCGGAAGACCGGAGGACTTCCGAGCCTTCTGAGAATGGGGGTTCAGACTTCTGGGGGTGAGAGTCAGCAAAGGGCAAGCTGAGGAGAGCACAAACTCTTCGACAAATGCAGGCCGGGGCGTGGAGTCTCCAGAGGACCTGCTGATGGACAACAGAACGGAAGACAAGGAGAGGCCCAGGGACTGAGCCTACCTCTCCCTGAACACCAGAAGGATGACCCCCCTGAGCAGGCGAAAGTCGACGTTGTCTTATTCGGCGTGTCGACATTGGGCGGAAGGGGGGGGGAAGGGGGATCTGGCTCCGGACCTCCGCTCAGTGCGACTGCTTGTCCCAACGCATCCCAGGGGGGAGACCCCACCTGCTCGAAACGGGCGCCAAAAACAGCCAAGATCTGCTCCACTGGGGGGGAGAGGGGGGGGGTCCCGAAGCCCATGCTTCTGCCACCGCCTGCCCCCCGAGAGGAGGCACCCGACCGCGCCCAGCGCAGCCGCCGCAAGCAGGGCGCGGCCGCCCCTGCGAGCTGCTCGCAGCGCCGGCGCCGGCATGCTGCGCGCGGAGGGCCCCTGGGCGAGGCGCGCCCGCCCGCCCGCGCGCGCCCGGAGCTCCAAGGGGGCGCGCACGCACGGGCGGCACGAGGGGGGTGTGGGTGGTTGCGGGAGGCCTCCCAGGTGGGGTCCGAGCAGACGGGGTGGGCGGATCTCGCCGCCTCGCCTAAACATCGGCGATGCATCGCCGATGCATCGGCGATGCACTGGCGACGTCGGCGATGCATCCAAGACGTCGGCGTGGGGAAAAGTGGGCCCCACATAGAGCCGCATCGGCGATGCATCGCCGGTGAAGGAGGCCTGCTCAGAAGGCGGCGGGGATTCTCAGGAGCCCTCCTGCCCTCTCGTCCGTCTTCGGCGCCTTCGGGGGAAGGCTCAGAACACTTCTCAGAGGGCTGGAAGACTTCCGAGCCTTCTGAGAAAGCCCGCTTCCCCCCCCCCCCCCCGGGCTGGCCGCCGAGTGCAGCGAGGCCTTCGCTGACGCCGCCTTCGGAGAGACCTGTCTGATCCGCACCATGGAGATCAGGGCCACCGCGCAATCGGCCAGGGATGTCACGACGGGCGAGCAGCTCTGCGCCAGTACGACGGGGGCGCCTGACGAAGCACGAGCGGCGAACATGGCCGTATCCGCGCCCACGCGGTCTGGATTCCCGGGCGCGGTCCCGCAGACACGCGGCCGCACGGGTACGCTCCGCGCGGGTCATGCGCGAAAGCACGGCCCTTTGTCGTGGGGTCGCGGCCCTTGGGCTCGGCCCACAAGGGCGCGGATACGAAGATGTTTTCGCACACGGGTCAGGGCAGGGGGCTTCTTCGAAGAGCTGACGGCTGCCAAGAGGCCTTCTTACAAGCCGCCACGAGCATCGACCATCCGACACCTATCCCCACCGGCGTGGCCTGGGCCCCACTGACCGAATTACCCCCCTAGATGGGGATAGAGGCTATTTCCTTTGGATTTCGAGGCTACTGGGGCGCTGAGATGGTGGGGGTCTGGATAGGAACGGGGAGTGGGATCGTTTGATGTCTGTCTGAAAACTCATTATAACATATACCGTCTCGGTTTAGTACCCTTCAGTGGCCTCTAACGGTGTGTGATTAGCGGCCGTTAGTTGCCTTTAGCCACCTTTTTACCAGCCTTTCGTTGCCTTTAGTGGCCTCCAGCAGCCTTTAGTGGCCTCCAGCAGACTTGCACCCTCGTCAAGATCGCAGAGAAGTGCATTAGGTAGTCCCAAAGGACCCACTTGAAGGACATTGGGCGCTTTCTGATTCGGCGTTTCGACAGTGGGCGGAAGGGGGGGAAGGGGGGGTATGGCTCCGGACGTCTGCTTAATGCGACTGTTTGGAACTGTGCGTCCTCTGGGGGAGACTTCACCTGCTTGAAACAGGCGCCCGAAACAGCCAAAATCTACTCCGTGGAGGAGGGGGGGGGGTGCGAGGGCCCGCGCCGATCGACAAAAAAACGAATAAGAACACGATCACATGAGCGTCCCAAAAGACCCGCTTCAAGGATACAGTGCGAGCGCGGGCGGCCGCAAGAAACCCTCACCGCGCAGCTCGCGGAGCGAAGAAAACTAGGATACCTGGACGAAAGCATATGGTTTCTTGATGCGCGCCCCCACTGTACATAGGGGTCGGTTGAACGATGCCGATCTTAAGGAGCCGCCAGGCCCTTCGGAGAACACCCCTGCCCTCCAAGAGGCCCTCCCACCCTCTTGGGGATGGGGCCGCCCCCCTCGCGCAGCAACCCCAGGGTGCGCGCCGCCAAAGCCCACGCGCCCCACGCGACGTGCTTGAGCCAGATCTCCCACCACCGATCGCAACCTTACCTTTAAGTCGGGCCTGTCCCTCTGCAGGAGGAATACCAAAGAATTGTTAAAACATAGTCTGGGGACTACTTTTTGATCATGTTTTTCCCTACCCAGGCTCTGCCTAGAAAAGCTCTTACCCTCTTGGCTTAAAGGGCCGGGCAGTGTAAATCGCCCCGGGCGGCTCCCCCAGGATCCGCCCCGCGGTTCCCCCAGTTACGTCCCCTTAGCTCAGCGTTGCTTATCTCATCTTATCTTAGCTTATTCCATCTTAGCTTAGTTTAGCTTCATATTTGCTCAGGTTTATCTTAGCTTAGCTTACTTTCATCTTAGCTTTGCTGAGCTTTAGCATAGCATAGCACAGCATAGCATAGCGTAGCACAGCATAGCGCAGCACAGCATTTCATAGCATAGCCCAGCATAGCATAGCATAGCGCAGCATAGCATAGCATAGCATAGCATAGCATAGCATAGCATAGCATAGCGCAGCACAGCACAGCACAGCATAGCACAGCGCAGCATAGCATAGCAGAGCAGAGCATAGCGCAGCATAGCATGGCATAGCATAGCATAGCATAGCGTCTAATGCTGCTTTCCTAGGGGCTCCAACTTCTAGGTAGGGTCGCACTGGGGTAATGATTATGTGGGGTACTTTTAGGGGTATGTTTGATTTGTCGTCCCAAATTTGCCTGTAGGGGGACATGCCCGACCTAACCTTACCTGCGCTTTGTGGGGGGTCTCGGGGCAGCCTCGCCCGTGGCCTCCCCGTCAGCGCCCCCTGAGAAAGGATGGTGATGATTGTGACGGTGGTTGTTGTGGTACAGCACGGCGGTCACGTCTCGCTAGGGGATCGCGGCTGAGTGCGTAAATCACTTCAAACACACAGGCACAAGCATGCACACGGTTTGCGACTTGCTCCAGGGCAACTATCTTCGCGTGTTGCTCTTCGCGATTTCGCGCCGACCCACCCCCCCGCTGGAACAGGATGAGGGACTCGCGCCTCGCTCTGAAATCGCCCCGACCGCGAAGCGCGAAGCGTGACTGACTTCGCACCCTCGTGGTGGCTCTAATTGCTAGGTGAGCGGCGCGCACAAGGGGATATGGGGGAGGGAGGAAGGCTTCTTAGAAGCACCCTTGCTTCTTCGATGGGACGGGCCTTGCACCTACAGGCAAGGCCTTCGCCATTTGAGGAGTAGGGGTGCTTCTAAGAAGCCTTCCCCCTGCCTCTGCCCCCCTTCTGCGCGTGTTCGAACCGATCGCAGTGGTCCGCATGCATTGGCTGCGACTTGCTGGTTGAGCGACGAGTAGAAAAGGTTTTTACGCGAGGTGGCACAGCGACCTTACGCGATGGCTCATGCGACCTGGCGCCACATTTGAGATGAGGGCGCTCACGCGCGACCTTACTCGGGCAACTTGCGCAACAACGTCGGTGAAGGACCCCGTGTGCTTCTGGCGCTCAGCTGGCGCTCCGGGAACACCTGGCACGATGCGCGTTTGTTTGGGGCGTCGTGCACGAGCCCGTACAAGGCCATTGAGCACTCACAAAGCAAGGCGTGCTTTATCAAAAGGGCAAAACATCCACCCCCATAAACACCCCGACAAGCGAGGCCGTTTAGCAAACGCACCCAGGGAAGGGATCCAAGAGGGCAGGGCTGTTTCGTAAACGCGCTGACCCGTTTAGAAAGGCAAATTGTCGGGGTCTGGGTGGTTCTTCCTTCCTTGATTTGTTCCCTCAGCAAATCACCCGCGGCGAACATCGAATGACATATGCAGTCGGAATTCGCCGCCCCATGTGGGGGCCTTGGCATGTGAGATTGCTGCTGCCCCTCCCCAAACCCCTCACCCGGGAGCCTGCCCCATCCCACAGGGGCCGCCGTACTCATCAGGCCTTTCCCGACGCTCCCAGACGGCCGTTGAACGGGTCAACATGGGCAATGTCAGAAACCCTGAACCAAAAAACGTCTTCATATCTTGGGGACGCAATTTGTACTTCCGCCGCCTTCCGCCGGCTTCCGCCGGCAAAGGCGGCCTCGTTGTACTTCCGCCGACCTTCCGCTGCCCTTCCGCCGCGGAAGAGATGCCAACTCCTTCGATCCTTGAAGACAAGGTCCGTTTTTGAAACGCCCCACGTGGGCGTTTCAAAAAGAGGCCTTGTCTTCGAGGACGGCCCCAAGAGAGGGAACGCGAAGGTGCCCTGAGGCCACACCACAGCCCGAAAGACCGGCCAGAAGCCCCAAAGAAGCCCCAAGGGCCCCTCCAGAAGGTCACCCGAAAGCTCCCGAGAGGCCCCAAGAGGCACCCGAAGAGGCCTACTACTACTAGGGCCCCACGAAAGGGCCCAAAACGGAGAAACCCAAGGGACATCGAACTACCTTTCGAAGCCGTACCCGCTTTGTTGCTTCCAGCTTAGCCCCCAAGGGTCAGCAAAGCGGCGTCAGCCCGTGAATCATACGTACGATGCGCCTTCCGCACTATGAGCACGGATATTGGACGCATGCTCCGCGAAGGGAGTTCCATCTTCCACTTGCGCGTCGACTGCCACCTCCTTTCCAAGGGCCTGTGAAGGGGAGGTGGTGGAGGGAGGGCGCGTGGAGGCTTCGGAGGCCGCTCGTCGAAACAGTCAATGGCATGGACAAGGAATCAAGCAACTGCTGGACGGGCAATGACAAGGGCGGTGGTGGAGAAACGGAACGCCCATCCGATGCGCAAACAAACGTGAATCACAAGCTTAGGAGACAACTCCTGGGAGGCTCTCGTTGAAACGATTAAGGGCGGGGCCCCACGTTGGGAGGGCCGGAACACGAAGGATAGGGGGTCTTCCAGCAGTTGCATCAAACCACACACACCCAGCACTATATTCTCTCTAATGCAGAGACGGGGACCTATATTAAGCTATATCTTCATCGCTTTACGGGTTCAGTGAGCGTTCTTTCCCCACCCGATAGGCTGGGGTTGTTAGATTTCAAGAATTGACCCCACGGCCAACCCCACCCTGCATACCGCGGCCGCCAGATCCCAAGTTGTCCCAAGAATCCCCCAGTATCCCCGAGAGTCCCTGGGAATCCCGCCCCCTCGCCCTCGACAAACACGACTGCATACCGCGGCCGCCAGACCCCAAGATGTCCCGAGAGTCTCCGAGTGTCCCTAGGAGTCCCGTCTCGCGCCCTCGACAAACACGAAACTGCACAACAATACAACAACATAACATGACAGAACATAATACAGCAATACCATGACAATATAGAACAGACTAGAACATCACAAAACATATCCGGGCAGAGAATTACATAACAGACAACGGCAGAACACACACACACACACTAACATAACATAGCTGATCATAACATAGCGCACCTTGACGGGACATATCATATCATGATACAGCGTTCAGAACATATCATAGCACGACAACAGAGCATAGCGAAGAACACGACAGACCACAACGTGCCACAATATAGTATACCATAACATAATACAACCATGACATAACATGACGGAAACTATAATGGCAGCACCTTTACAAAACAGACCATGACATAACATCACATAACGTACCATAACATATCACGCCGGAACAGACCAACGTAGTAGACATAACACGACAGAACAGAACAGAGCATGACAGAGCATGACAAAACAACGCATAAAATGAAAGAACAGAGCACACCATAACATCACATAACAAACCAGAGCCGAACGTCACATAATAGATAACCACATAACATCACAGAACAATCCAAACCAGAGCACTAGAGAAGATCACAAAATAAACGAAAACCAGGTCAGACCCCTAGTTGTCCCGAGAATCCCCGAGTCGCGCCCTCTATAATACCGAAACAACACACCATTACACAACATAACATTACAAAACATAACATAGCAACACCATGACAACATACATCATATAATAACATCACAGAACATTTCTACGACGGAACACACACTAACATAACATGACGGATCATAGCATAGCACATGCTTACGGAAATATCATATCATGACACAGCGTTCAGAACGTATCGTAACATGACAACAATAGAGCATAGCGACGAACACGACAGAACACAGCATGTCACAATAAACAACAACATAACAACACGCGATCATGACATAACACGGCATACCATAACATGAGAGTATCATTACAACACATATATGACAGAACATCGCAGAACACCCCAGATCACACCATGACAGAGCAGCACAAAAGTGTACACAGAACACGACAGAACAGAACAGAGCATGACAGAACATGACAAGACAATGCATAGCATGAAAGAACAGAGCACACCAGAAAATCACAGAACAAACCAAAACAGAACGTCACATAATAGAGAACCACAGACCATCACGGAACAAACCAAACCAGAGCACAAATTAACATCACAGAACAAACCCAAACCAGGCCAGACCCCAGTTGTCCCGAGAATCTCGCAGTCCCTGCCGCCGCCCCGCCACTGGCGGCCTCCTTGCCTGCGCCCCTCAGTCTAAGGATGGGAGGGGGGAGGAAGGAGGAGGGGAAGGAGGCATGCGGCAGGAGGAGGAGGAGGAGGACAGGGGCCTAAGGTTTCGGTGGGGACTGCTCGAAACAACTAATGATTCGGCTTTCCGACATTGGGCGGAAGGAAGGAGGGGGGGGGGGCCTGGCTCCGGACATCTTCTTAATGCAACTGCTTTGAACCGTGCGTCCTATGGAGGAGATCTTACCTGCTCGAAACAGGTGTCAAAGAAACATGAAGATCTACTCCAGGAGGGGGCCGCGCCGATCGGCAAACCAATGGATAACATAAATAATTACTTGTTCTCGATGATCGCTCCAACCCAGTACTCGTTACCACACACCAGAGACCACACGCACACACACACACACACGCACACACACACACACACGCACACACACACACCAGACAAGCACACACACACACACCTACTGGCTCTCATCCGTCCGCACAGCGCTCAAGTCGAGCGCGCCCATCGCCGGGAGAGCGAACATTCAAC